CTCTGTTTTATATTTTATTAGTTAATTTCACTAATTTTATTTATAATTTGATATAAATTATGATAATCATAATATTACTAAAATATGTGTGTATTTAGTTAATAAAAATTCTATAAATAATGTGAAATATTAAAATACTAAATATTTTATAGATTAAATAATAACCATTCCATTTTGTTTAATACACTGCCCAAAAAATCATAATTTAAAATAAATATTATAAATAAATTTGTGATATAACCTACTAAATGTCTTCAGGTAGTTAGACCCATTATCAGTAATTATCTTGCAAACTTTATTATAAATCATAAAAGACTTGTGGATGTCAATAATTTTATTTGCAAGTACGTCATATGTCTGGCATCCTATAATCCTTTTAAGGGCTTAAGCTACAGATCTTCTTTTTAAAGTCCTAGGGTCTAACCAATGGCCTGTGATTCCCAGCTCTAAAAATATTTAATAAGATCAATTTATAAATATAAATAAGTTTTTACCTTCTGTTATGTGTCCAACTATCTGCCGTGGTACATACATAAGATATATCTGATAACTCTACTATTAGAGCATCTTTCATCACTTTGAAGTTTTCGGCTATTTTATTCATAAGTGTCTGGCGACATAAAACTGTTGTGCCAGGGGATAAAGTTTTAATCATCATAGTAAATGTTGGATTATCAACCAAGGACAATGGCTGAACTGTGTCAATAATAAAATTAACAATTACTTTATCAGCCAATTTTTGTGAAATATTGGCATGTTTATTATCAGTTAATTTGGTTTGGATAGTATTTGTCTTTTTGAATGAAGATTCTCCTATACCAAATTTTTTTATATGTTTCTCTATTTCCTTATAGTTATAGCAATTGGCGTGAACAGTCTATAAAATAAATAATATTATAATGTAAAAATAACAATTTACCTTTAGGTGTTTCTTCAGGTTATAGCTACTCGATTGATTTGATGATATATTTTTTTTACATTTTAAGCACAGAAATTTGAATCCAGATTTTGTTTTAATATTTATTTTAAAAAATTTTTCAAATCTAGGGAATGGGAAATCGTTATTAGAGCTATTAAGTACATTTTCTTCCATTGAATCTTCCGTGTCCGAATCACTTTCAAGGATTAAGATATCCATGATCGATGCCATTTTAGATTATAAACACAGATTGAAAATATAAATTAAAAATTGAAAATATATTTAAATTTCAAAATTAAGTAATAAATTATAAAAATTATAATTAATTATGATATTATATTTAAATTTTCATGTTTATACTTACATTCATTATATTTTTTTTTAAAAAAAGTAGCGCGCTAAAAAATTAAATAATTTTAAAAAAGGTAGCGGCTATTAGCTATAGCTACCAAAAAAGATAGCGCGTCTGCTATGTTGCTACATTTTCATATCCATTTAATATAGCTATTATGTTCAAATAATCTTTAAAAAAACGATATTTGATTGATATCCATAATTCCATCGATTATAAAATTGATATACACTATTATTGATATGTTGTCGTCAGTGGCCCCTACAACAAGGGAGGTTGGTCCGAAGCAACTGCTTCAGTAAATTTGAATGAGGGAACCTTTTTAAAAAATTTTTTTTTTTTAATTTTCTTTATTATTTAATTCTTTTACTGTTTAGTTACATCCATCATGATCAAGAGATTTCTGGTTTATAAATGTAATAATAAGACCCCCCCCCCCCAACTTAATATTTAATTTAATATATTGACGGAAACTTTGGTCGATGTTTAGTAAATTAGGTTGTTATTCAAGATTTCTTGTCACAAATTATTTCCAATTTAAAAATATGCCTAAAAATATTAACCAAAAAAAATACAAATGCCTAATTAAAAATTGCAAATCGCATAATATAAGAGATGATTAGAAATTGGATTACTTATAGTATTAAAATGAATAAAGTTTTTTGCTTAACATGTCTCTTATTTGGAGGTCTACACACAAATTCAAAATGGACATGTGAAGGTCTAGATAAATGGCAGAATATTAATCGTGATATCATTCTGCATGAATCTTCACAGGCATATATGATGGCCGATTATGGAAGACTTTCTCACAATAAAAATTCGATATTAAAATTTATAACACCCCATAAGGAATGTGAAGATAATAACCGTTCTATCATAAGAATTATAATAAGATGTTCAGATTATTTAATATCTAGTAACCAAGCCTTATGGGGGCAATAGACAACAAGAAGGCAATATGATGGCCCTTATTAAGCTTATTGCAGATTCTGAACCTGTACTAAAAATGTATATACAACAAAATGAAGAAAGAAAAAGGGATTAAAAACGAAATTATATTCAAATCTATGATCATATATTAACATAAATATTCTCATTGAAACCATGAAAAATATGGTTATAAAAAAAAATTCAAAATGAGATTACATTTAACAGGTGCTTTAATAGCTTTGATAGTAAATTATGTTGAAAATAGTGAGACGCCGAAGCCTGTTGAAAGACTGATTGACATATATTGTACCACAGGTCTCGATATTAAGCGTAATATAATATCCAAACTTGGCTCGATAAATTTACCCCTTGAATTTCTAGTTAGGCAAAGCAAAGTTATGATGGCGCCTCAAACATGAGTGGAAAAATCAATGGTGTGCATGCCTTGATTAGAGCAGAGGCTCCAAAGGCAGCTTTTATTTGGTGTTATTGTCATCGATTAAATTTAATCAATGTTCAATTATGACAATCAATTGAACTTCGAAATGTTCTAGGAATACTAGATGAGATTTATATCTATTTTAATGGTGTAAAAAGATATGAGGTACTCAAAGAGTGTCAGTGTAATGATCTAACGATTTCTAGGCATCAAGAATACCACTCGGTAATAGTCTCTTATTTATTTAGATTTATAATGCTTTTTTATTTAGAAGCTGGCTATCGTCATATAAAGCTATTCTACTTTATGATGCCTTGAGGGCAGCTTTAACAAATTTAAAGGATTCTGAAGATCCTGCCACTTCCACTATGGCTAGTGCTATAGTCTTTAGAATAGAAAAATTTGATTTTATCTCATCACTTTGTGTTTTGGATAAAATATTGTTGATAACAAGTTTGGCTTGCACAAAATTGCAAACCAATTCTAAGAATATAGGGTTTGCAATAAATCAAGTTCAATTGGCAAAAGATTGCTTGATTAATTTGATAAGTATAATATAAATTATTGTCTTAATTAATTTTTAATCTAATAGATAATAACACTGAAGTTTTGGATGTTTTTTCAAAGGCACAAGATTTTATGAAGGAGAAAAATCTACCTTTTGATTTTGAAAGTTCTAGACTCAAACATTACAATCCAAAAAGGAGAGGTATATATACTTTTATCATTAAATATAGAAAATTTTTTAGCTTTAAAATAGGTGTGTTTGCAGTTTAACGAAAGATTTAATGATGAGTCGATGAAATTTTTACATCAAACATCATTTTTAACGCCAAAGGGAATGGCAGAAAAATCAATTTTTAAAAAGATATCTAGGATATCTGTGAATTTTACAATTTAAATTTAAGTCAAATTTTCGAAGAAATGTTGAAGTTTAGAAATATTTATAAGATGGCCAAAATGGGGAATGTAATTATTACCTTTTCAAGGGGGTATTTTGCTTCATTCGCTCAGAAAGTGTAGGGGCCACTGGTTGTCGTAATTAGACAAACAATTTTGTAAAAAAAACTATAATATATTCAAAGCATTAGACGGGTTGAATCCTATATCTCCTAATTTTATGCTCAACAATATTACATTTCCTTTAATAGGACATTATAAGTTGCCTCCCCTCTCCAATATCGAATTAAAATGGCAAAAATTTTGTTTTAAAGAAAATTTTCGAAAATATTGTACATCTATGAATTCCTTTCTTAAAAATCTTCAAAAATTAATTATTCTTGATTTGCAAAACATAAAATATTATCATCTTGACCACATCTTATTCATAAGCTATATTTTTCCTAAAAGGTATTTTCAGAAATATTTGAATTATTTTTAAGTTATGTTTGGAAAAGTTTGTGAAATTTTTACAATAAAAAGAAGAAAGTTTTAGATATAATTTTCTAAAATAGTTTCTTGGAGGATATTATGTTCTTAGTTTATATGACGCACAAGGAAAGATTTAGTTTCATTTTCGAATATATTACTTTTTTAAAAATTAAAAGGTCTACTCAAAAATAGTTTTAAAAATTATGTTATCCAGCGATTCAATTCACGTCCAATCATACCAAGTGATTTTTAGGGAAAACTTTTCAGAACCAATCACGTATATTCAAAGATCACTCACACTTACGGCACGACCCACCGTGTCCCATCAGGTCAAGGGGATTTTCGCGGCCCACTTATATATAAAAATAAAAATGCTTTTATTATCTAATTAATTTTTTTTTCGAGAGATTTCCACATTATAAAAAATTCTCCGGTTTAAAGTTAAACGTTTGATGATACAAAGTTATTAATAAATGATTAAGAAATTTTCTTTATACCCGGCCCAGATCTAAACTTGTTTTCCAAGATTTTTTATATATTTTTCTCAACTAAAATTGCTTTTTAGCTGTTTATTTATAGTAAATTGTATCAAAAAGAGAAATTTAAAAAATACGAGAAATAAACGAATGATAAATATTTCCTTATATAATTTTCCGACAAATCATATAATTTAAACAGAGTTTAAAATGCTCTTCAAAGATTTTCTTTTTTAATACTTTCACGATGAAATCACAAATCTAAGAAGAGAAAAAAACTTAAACAATAGTTCTTGGACTAATATGCGTACAAGTACATATAACTTGCCCACTCCCCTAAATTCTGTATAAATTCTAGATGGCAATGAGAAATATCTAGCGTAGCTCTATTGTACCTACATGAGCTTTATCACGTAAAAAAATGACTTGAATCTTAAATAAATTTGAAGGAATTGAGTCCTAGGGGAATGGTGGATGAAGATATTAAAAATCTAAATTACTTATTTGGTAAAGGGATTTGCGCGTACGCAAATCCCAACTATCAGAAATTATATGCTCGAATTACCCACATTTGGAGTAAATCGTAGCCTTCAACTCCGCCTAGAAGTGCAATGACGAAGTCTCCAACTAAGGGAACCGTCTTCTTGATCACGGTTACCCTCGCACTAGGTAAGTAATTTATACTGTTCAAAAGAACTAAGTGATATAGATAGCAATTTGTATCAAAGAGAAGGTTTTATATGCCTAAATATACATGTGAAGGGTGTAATTTATATAACAACAAACATGTATTTTTTGATCAACATAGTTGAGAATTTTATTTATTTTGGAATATTAAAAAAAATTTTTTTTTAAAAAAGTTTATTAATTTCATTAGCTTATAATTAAATTATAAATATTTGGTTTTTAACATCCGCTAGATAGCGTTTAATAATAATATTTTTTTAAAAAAACTAATACTTTATTTACTCAATTTAATAAAATGATAAATTTTTATGTATTCAAAATAATAATTTATTTTTTTTAACCTTTATTTATTTTTTTAATTTAAAAAAAAATGCAAAATAGATTTTTTTTTATATATTTGTATACAACACTTTATAATATATTAAATTATTAAAAAATTACAAAATTACAAAATTTAAATCCAAATTTCTAAAAAAAAATAAAAATAATATTGTTGAGAGGAAATTCTGAAAAAAAAAATGGAAAGATATAAAAGAAGATAGAAGATTTTTTTTTTTATGAGAGATAATTAATTATATTCCTTGCCTGTTGTAAAAGTCTTCACGAAAATTCCCGGAATATTTCCGGATTTGACGGCCGACATCTTTAAAGAAATTTTTAGACCGAATCCCCATATGTGGTTAAAGTAAAGCAAATCAACGTCAAAGATGTTATTTGATGATTCAGCCCTGTATTTACTAATTTAAATATGCGCCCTATTCATAATTTCGTTGATGTTGGACGAGGAGTTTGTTCCCTAGCAAGAAAAATCCCATATTAAAAATTTGCTATGTAACTATGGAATTCGTGTTATACCATCTGGATGTCTATCGTGAAAGAGATAAATGGATTCGTGGGAAAGCCAGCTGATTTCAATACGAAATATATGAGTTGATTGCATTTCGAGTGCCGGATTTATCTACTGAGATTGCGATTACAGTGTAAGGGATGCAGCGCCATATTCTCATCATCGATATGACATTTGCTACATCTATATAAAATGAGAATGGAATGTTGAGCCTGTTACAAAGAGTTCTTACTAGTATATCAAAAAGCTAAACATTTTAGGCCTCTATTTTTTGAATATTTAAAAATAAACCAGATAACCCCTCTTACTTTTCCAAATGACCAACAATTTATAAACAAAATTCCCATGTATATAAATGGTTTTTTTTAGAGGCATATTAGATTAAAATAATATATGGTGAAATGATGAAAAGAGATGTAACTATAATTTGTACAAGTCCTTCACCCGACCCCCCTTTCCCCCACCCCTACAATTTTTTTGTATAACCCTGTTTACTTTATAATCCCATAAAAGCTTATTGCTTATACAAATAATTATCCTTTTGTTTCAGTTTGAGATCCTATATTAGACATTCGATTAGAGATATACCAATCCAAATAGTTTTTTATGAATAAATGCCATGCCTATCTATTGCTACTTAAATAAAAATTTAAGGGGAACTTCATTTGGGAAGCCTACACTTATATTTTTATTATAATTTCATAGATTTAGATAATATTTCACATTTTGTATTTTATATGTTTTCTTTTCATAATTTCTATTTTTATGATTCATTTTCTAAAACAATAATAATAAAAAGTATATATTCAGCATATTTTAATAAATATATTATTGAATTTTTATAAAATATTTAATTTCCAAAGGATTCATTCATTATAATAGAGAAAATATCAAATTATAAATATCATTACAATATTTTATTTTTTTTCAACTGGTAATAATATAATGAAAATAAATAGTTAGTAAATGATTACGAATTAGAAAAAAAAAATCATAATAACAAAAAGACAATATTGAGCATAAATAATAAAATAATGTAAAATACAAAATTAATAAAAACGAAACCAGCACAATTATTCAAAATCCTTCCTCTAATCATCGGGAGAGATCGAGTTCATAAAACAAACATAATTAGCCTTAAGAATAGCTATTGCGATCCTCTGTCTTAAGTAAAGCCCTCGCGAGGTTTCCCAGAATTTGTTCCTGATGCGACTAACGTCTTTAAAATTTTTTTTAGCCAAATTACCATATGTTGTTGAAGTGGAGCATATGATTGGTAGGAATATGTAATTAGAATAATCAGTGCTGTATTTGGTGATATTAAAATTTTGAGCTCTGTTCAGAGAGTCCTTGTTAAAATTGGAAGGGGAGGAAAATCTCATATTCGAAACTTTCCATCTGACCAGGGAATTCGTGCAACTCCATCAGGACGCCTACCATCGGGAAAGAGACCAGAAGGCTCCAATGAGGTAGAAAAACCAGCTGGCATAAGTGCAAGAGATATGATTTGATTGCATCCGGGTTTGCCGACCGGGATTACGATTGCAATGTAAAGGATGAAGCGACATATTTTCATCAGCAGTATGACATTTGCTGCATTTGTATGGTAATGTAAAAGGAATTTTGAGCCTGTTATATAAAGGATAGCCGAGCTCGTGATCCAAAATGACATATATAACTTCATATCCCCGATCCTTGATAAGTTCAATGTATGTGGTCCTAGCCAAAGATGAAAGACTCGGAATAGAATAATCAACGGAGTTTTTCACAAGTGGTAGATTCCACTTCTGTTTTACAAAGATCGGAAATATTGTTGTGGTTGCGATGGATTTTGCCCACTCCGTTCTAGCTGTATTCAAAAAGGGATCATGAACTGATAGATGTTGGTCAATTAATTTATGTGCCTGAAGGTGACTAGCAATGAACGCACATATTGAGATCGATAGTGGGGGTCTTATACCCAGTCCGCCATTTTGGAAGGAAGTGTGGCTTGATGCCAAACAATGTCTGAAAACTTGATATTTAAGCAGTCACTAAGAATTACTCTTATTCTGGTTTCGAATCTTACTAGATGCACCCTCTCTAAAAATAATGGGCTCGATCGTAGGGCGCAAGGGATTTTGAAGAAATTACTAATTAAAAAAAGGCCTTGTGAGCCCAGGACAGGGAAGAATACTTTAAATTTTCAATATATCGTCCATATCGCTAAAAAAAGAATTTACTGACTCCTCGCCAATGGGAGAGCCCAAATGCGATAAATTTTTCAAGGGGACATGCTTAAATCCAAATACGTTTAATGGAAATGTATTGATTTCACAATAGTCCGTTTTTGTTTTGCCCCACATATTTAATTAGAGTACAAAAAAATCTTCAATAAACATGTGAAGATTTTTTTTCGCCAAAATCTTTGATGATCAACAAAAATGTAGATTTTTAAAAAAAATTATCTGGTATTCTGTTGGTTAGCGGAAAACGCCTAATTTCGAATTTTACACGATTTTTAATCCCAAAAAATTATTGAATAGAATTTTTTCATCAAATTTGATTAAAAATCTGAATCTTGATTAACCCTTCTCAGAAACGAAATATAAATTAATTAAATATATTGGGACCGCGCGTACGCGGTCCGCTAAACCCATAAATTTTGCGCTTGGCGTACCCACATTTGGAGTAGCCATAGCTATCAGCAAAACCTGTAGTGCAATGGTGAAGCCTCTAGCTAGAGGAACCGTCTTCGTGATCACGGTTACCTCTGCGCCAAGTAAGTGATTACATCATAATTTTCGTTTTTATATAATCGCAAGTATTTTATCCAAGTTTATAGTTTTAAATGGTTGGATTCGTAATTATTATGAGATTATTGAATTTAGAGTAAGATGAAATTTAATTACTTAATACGAAATTATTGAATTAAACAATATATGATAATTTATTATTTACATTATTTATTGTATTTAATTGTCAATTAAAATGTGAATTTAAACAAATATAATTTAATTTCTCGCTAGATGGCGTCAATAACATATTTAAAAAAAAAATATAATTAAAATTTACATAATATATATATTTTTTTAATGTTTAAAATGTAAAACCTAATTCTTTTTTATTGTACGATAAAATATTTATTTAACGTATATTTATTTTCATCTTCAAATTATTACTCTTTATTTATATTAAAAAATAATTATAATAACATTTAATCAATTTAAAAAAACAATAAGGAATTAAAAAAAGAAATGAAATCAACAATTTAGAAAGAGACAAAAATAAATAAGATTTAATAAAATACATGCTGGAGGGGGGGGGTTAAAATAAATATACCATATTTATTAAAGGTGCAAAAAATAGGGTTCGGACTGGGTCGGGCCTAAAAAATCGGGCAGGGTCAGGTCTTATAAATTTTTTTAAAATATATCTTAAATTTATCAATTTTATGTTGAATTTTTTATTTTAAATTTAAAATATTCTATTTTATTTTTAGAAACTATACGCCATATCTATATTTAAATAAATTCGGGCCGAGCCGGGCCGGTAAATTTTGTTTAAAAAAATTTAAAGTTCGGGGCGTGCTGGCAAAACTTTTTAAAAAAAATTTCGGGCCGGGCCGGGGTTGAAAAATTAGGCCCGATGTAGATCATTAATATTTATATCTAAAAACTAAATATTTGAGTTTCAAAGACCATAAATGTCGAACTGGACATATTTTTAACATTTTTGATTTTTAAAATGTCGGGGCCAAGACCTTATGATATATTTCTGATTTAGGAATGGCAAAGCTTAATTTTTTTACGTTGCTTCCAAAAGCTGTTTCAAAAATATTATCTCAAGCTTCAAGGAAAAATATAAGAGAGACTTTTTAAAAATTTAACAATTATGTTTTTTGGCAATATTTTTATTTATTTTATTTTAAAAAAAAGGCTTATTTCATGATTTTTCGGAATTTTTTTTTAAAAGCCTTAAAAAAATATAAGCAAGCAATATTTGTAAATATTTTTGCTAAATTGTATAATTTTAAATTTTCCTCGTGCATTAAAATTTATCATTTTTAATTTCTAAAATTTTCATTTATTCTATAAATCAAACTCTAATTTTACTATTCTTTATTTTACATTTAAATAGTAGGTTTTGTTGGCCAACCCTGATTTGTTCGAGATTATAGAGTTAAGCTCTATGGCGACTGAACTGTCCTTTACAAAATAAACAGGTTAGAAGATGCCGCAGGATTTAGTTCTCTCAACCTTAATAGACATTTATGGGGTCTACACCCTATGGTTGCCCTCAGCTCCTCATCGTAAACAAAACAATATTGGCACTAGGGACAGTTTTATGCCATTCATGGCAAGATTTTTATCTCAAGTTTTTGAGGATTAGAGTGTCTTCAAAGAAGAGATAGTATTATTATTATTAATATTAAATTTTTTTAATTAGCAAGCAATCAAACATGGCGCAATAAACTGTTTTTTTCATTTAATATTTTTAAATTTTCATCATATGTTAATAAATGTTTTATCTTTCAACATCATGTTGTAATTGCTATTTTTATTTATTAAAATCGAACTAGTGTTTCGCCGTCTAACCCGAATAGAGATCTAAAAAATAATATCCGCAACTTCCGGTCCCGAAATTTATCAAAGAAATTTTAACCCCCATAGAAATTTTTTTTAAAAAAACTTTCTGTTCGTTGCGTTCAGCCGGAAAATGTTTAAAGATGTTGACGGATCAAAAATTAGAAATAATAATTACGTCCGATTCTAACCGACTCTTTGATGAACGAGTTGATTTGAACTAGTGTTATTAAAAGGTTCCATGTCAATTCAGCGAAACTTTTATCACGAAACCTATAAAGCGAATACATTACCGCGAAACTTTAATCGCAAATCAATAATCGCGAAAATTTTATAGCGAAGTTATTATGGCGAAACTCAAATCGCGAAGACAATATAGCGACAATTATTTCGCGAAACATATATCGCCAAGATATTATAGAGAATTTAATATCGCGATAATTGCTAATAATGACTAATTTATTTTTGAATCATTTTTTTATAATTTTATTATTTGAATAATATTTTTTTTAAAAAAAAATAGGTTGAAGATTGATTCACAATGATAGTTTGTAATTTTCTTTTAACCTTAAAAAATTTATATAATGATTAATAAACTTAGATCTGGTTTATGAAATTTTTTATTGGAATTACACTTTTTTCGCTATCCTATCCTTTTCTTTGAAGTTCTTATTTTATAATAATCGAACTCAGCTTTATCAATATATTAATCATCGAGTTTATTAGTTAAATCTTGATATTTACTGGCGAAATTGATATCTGGGTAGCATTCCTATTCATTGTCTGATGACTTAATATTTATAAATTTATCAATGAATTTTGGCCAGGGTAGCAAGTCAGTCAATTGACCAGTCAAATGATTAGATTTTGACGGGTCAATTGAACGGGAGAATATTTGATCTGGTCAAATATTCTAAAAGATCTGAATATAAAAATATGTTTGAAAAAGAAAAAACGATATAAATACATGTGATCACAATGCTGCTATTTATTGATTTCCTAATATTAAGGAGAGCATTTTACTCATAGTGAATTTAATGAAATATGTAATATAATAAAAGAATTAGGCATACAAGGTAGTGATCAAAATATTTCAAGTTATATCATAAATTTCAGAAATAAAAGCGGCAATTTTAATAGAAAATCATGGGGAAAACAGTAACTTCCATAAGAAGCAATCAGATTTCAATCTCAAGCAGTGGAATTAGCTTTGACCAGCATGGCCATTAGGAGAAGTGGCATTACTAACAATTCCTAGATCTAGTTCTTCTCCAGAAAGAAATTGGTCGTTTTATTTCAATAATCTTACTAAAACAGAAATCGATTGAAGATTTAGACAAAACAAAAATTGATTAAAAAATATTAAAGAAAATGATGATATTCAATATAAAAAAATATTTATTTGATTACCATATTTGACCGGTCAAATGCACAACCGTGCTTTTGGCAGTCACTATTCATAAACAGTGTAGATGAATAAAGTCTACAACATTACTGTTTAGAATGTCAATTTTGAATGGCAATTCAAAAATAAATTACATCTAAGTGAAATAAGGGATTTCCCCTATTTAAACTTATTATTTTACGATCTTTATAGATATCTTTTTATCTTTTCTGTTTATTTTATGGGGGGGGGGGGGGGGTGGCGTGATAAAAATTTTAGTATAATATCTCGACATGAATCTCAATTAATTTAAATATAATTTGCTATGGGTTCTTTCTTATTGAAGCTTAAATAATTTTAAAATATAATAAAAAAATAACTACACTAAAAATTAACAAATAATTAGTGAAATATTTGATAAATTATAACTATTAAAATAAAAGTGTTGCCGAAATTTAAAAAAAATTTCTCGTCTGGCTGGTGCCATTTCCTTGGTTATGAGTTATAAATATTTTCGCCATTCTTTCTTCTTTATATAGGAGTCTTATAAAATATGTTATCAAGCAAAAATAAGGAGATCTTAACTTTTAAAAATTATTTGTTCCGCCTGGATAAAGTAGTCTCAGATACAAACTATTACAGATGCCTTAACCAAGATATATTTTAATGTCCAGTACGATACAAAAAAAATGGTAAGATAAAAGATAATAAAGAAATACATAATCATCCAGAAAATCCAATCGAAATGGAAACCAAGAAAATAATCAATTCAATTAGGAATGAAGCTTTGAATAATACTATGGAAACTTTAAAATTTATTGTGGCGAAACACGTATCTCAATTAAGTGATTCCATATCAATGGTACTACCATCACCGAATCTTATGAAACGTAAAATTCACCGAACGCGGAGTTCAAACAGTTTTGCACCTCCAATCCTTAGCAGTCTTATCGAGCTGGTAATTCCGCATCATACTACATGATGATGGTCAGGTAAGATTTTCTATAAATTTTTTGAAAAAGTAAAACTAAATAATTCATTTTTATTGCGATAAGCTGCCCGATTAGAAACACTTTATTATAATTACTTATTTATTTATCATGTGTGCTAGGTTCCCAACCGTGTTATCATATTTAGAACAAGAAAAAATTTGGACTTCTTAGTTTCATGCGAATATTGGTTTTCTGATGGTACATTTAAATCGTCGCCACCTTTATTTAAGCAAATTTATAAAATTCATGGGATTAAAAATAATAATGTTTTACCTCTCATATATATATTGTCCAATAAAAAAAATTTATGAAACATATAAAAAAATATTTACTATTATAAGTGACAACTTAATATCAACTTCCAAAAAAATTATGACGGATTTCGAAATGGCCAGTGTAAAAGATTTCAATGAAGTGTTTCCCAGTTCATAACACAAATGTTGTTATTTCCATTTTGGCCAATCCTTTTGGAGGAACATTCAAAAACATCCAGAAATATCGCAGAAATATAAAACAGATGTGGGATATAATATACAACTTAGAATGATGGTTTGCTTGGCATTTGTGCCACTATTAAATGTAGTTGAAACATTTGAATTACTAATAAACTCCGAATTTTATTCTAAAATCAATTGTTACTTCAGCCTCTAATTGAAACTTTTGAAAAAGTTTACATTGGTAAAACGTTTGGAAGAGGCAGACTACCTGCTTTGTTTAATGTTGAACTGTAGATTGTTACCAATCAACTCTGAACGGGGAAAAACCAACAACACCGTTGAAGGGTGGCATAGATGCTTCAGTTCCCTCCTAACAAGTCACCATCCAAAC